AGGGAAAGATTAACAGAAAGGAATTAGTGCTGACTCTCACTGAACATCCTGGAATGGTGGAAAGCAGAGAGAAGAATAAAGAAGCAATAGCCAGGCCATGGGCTCAGTTGATGGAAAGAACTCACTACCTCAAATGGCTATGAGGCTGGATGAGGAAAAAAAGCAAAGGTAGATGAGATTGCATCTGGATGCAAGGAGTCAAACACATGTTATTAGCATCAGAAAAGCCCTAGAGAGCATGTATGTTTATGGAAATGTTCACGAAGAACAGAGTTTACCTTTAGGGCACCAAAACCTCCTGCTGATGCTGCCTCTAACCTCCCTTCATCTGTTTGCTTCCCACAGGTCTGGCAGGTCAGACACCCGTGGAACAGGCACTAGCTGACGCCATTGTGGACACCATAGATGATTTCATGACGCTGTTCCCTTGGGCAGAGAAAAACCAGGACATAAGAGTAAGATGATCACTAATTTAAACAAAGATAGCACATAAGCTATAACTCCGTACCTGAGCATCTCCTCTGGAGAAACTGCTGTGTGCCACCAACTGGGTCCATCACCTCATCCCAGCAAAGCTGAGCTGGAAGAGCTCTGCGCTTCTTCCTCCAGGCTAATCCAGCCAAGGCCTTCTGCTCCCTCCCACCTCCTCCTTCACCAGATTTTTTTCACCCTCGGCAGAAGCAATGATGAGGCCATCATGAGCCACCCCTCACTAGTTCACCTTGAATCAAGGATGCTGTATGTGTATACCTCAAACTGCTCTTCGAGGGGGAAAGACAGGACATTTCCATGCCAGCCAGCACTGTGCAATACCTGCATCTCGTTGCACACACAATAAGTGCAAATTTCTTTTTTGCTAACTGAACAGGATTAACAGCTCCATCCCATCTTCCTTTTGCCCTTTCGCATCTTGATTTCTACTGGGCTTTTAAGAAGTATCAACCTCCAATAGCAACAGCTGCCAGGGACAAACGCCTTTCAATTACCAGGGTGGTGTAGGACAGCAGGCGCTGCTGAAGAGGGGAGGTAGCGCATCCCTCACTGTCACCACGGCTGTGCTCTCCAGACCCCCATGGCCCCACCTCGGTCCTCTGCAGTGCTGCTGCAAATACCGACACCAGGCTAACACGCTGCCGTGGCTACTTTAACACACAGTTATGGGCAAGTCCTACAGCATTTGGGGTTTTTTTGTAGTCCCTCTCATCAGAGCCCCAAACGCAAGCATGCAGATCAGCTACTGGGGGAAGAGGGTGATGGATGAGTTAACTCCAGTGGTTTGATAGCTCCACGCAGCTCTGACCCAAGCAGATGACCTGACCCTTGTAGGCAAGTGGGAGTATAACAACAGGTCTCTCTCACCATTAACTGCCAGTGCAGCCACCTTCCATTTATTCAAAGGTAACGTTTCAGACAGGCTAGGACATCTTATTACAGAAACCACAGGGTACAAAATGTTGACCAAAACCAGTAATAAGTAATGAAAAGATATGAAAGCGCTCTGAAGTCTTGCAGGGGAAAAATTTGAAAGTGTATTTGGAGGTCTTAGGATTTAAAAAAAAAAAAAAAAGTGAATTGCTTAATCTCCTAGTGATTTCCTGAAGTTTCCTCATTTGGGGAGGGGAGGTTGACTCACAATTTTTCAATCATTTAGGAACAGCCGTGCTCTTGGTAATGTGCGAGTGTAGAAGCAGCACTGTTGCCACAGTACTGCTACTCCTTTACAGGGAAACTCCCATGATAACGCCTGCGTGCATCCCAGCTTGTACCCAAGCACTTCTTCAAAATAAGGACCCAGATCATGTCACCAGTGATTAATTTAAAAGGGAAGAGCATTCACAAGCAACCCTTATATGCCTGTACGCACGTATGCATGCAAGGGAGTGTTTTGGGGCCAAGGAAGATCGAGAAACTTAGTTTCTGGAAATCGCAAACGTTTTTTCTCACTCTTAGCAGTTCTCAATCTCTTTTCCCGGGTCCACTGCCACCACCTTGTGGTAGAAGTGGAGTCTCATGGTTTCACCAGGCCAGATTTAACTAATTTACACCCAGTGAAGCAGATAAGTCAGAAAGCTTCCTGTCAAGTGATTAGAGGAACACAGATCCCTCAGAGAAAAACAAAAGGATGTGTTACGCTGCATAGCAAGCGGAAAACAAGGTAAAGGGAGCAGAGGTGGAAGCTGTCCATGGAAGCTCCCTCTGCGCCAGGCTCTCCCTTCACCCTCCACCCCCACAAAAAAAAAAAAAGCTGGTGCCCCCACAAAAAAAAAAAAAGCTGGTGTTGCAACAGCTTTGTTATGCATTGCTGAAGAGCTCCAGGGTTGAGACAAGTAAGTTGTGCCACTCCAGAAAGTGGATCCTGGTCACATCCCCAGGTCACAATCAGCTTCGCAGGTTGACTGCGTTTATGATCACACAATAGTTTGAAGTTTGGTTGTGGTTTTTTTTTTTTTTTTTTGCAAGGGGGTAGGGGAAATTACCTTAAAAAAAAAAAATGGGAAATGCCACAGCACAGGGTACAAATATGAAATTTCTGGACTACAAACTTCTGGCTGTTACTTGCAGTCAAAACATTCCGTTATAAGACAGACAGCAAAAAATTATGTCAAATCTTCAAACATGTCTGCAGAAATACTGGGTTTATTTCAGCCTGCATTTTTTGGACCATTTAGGCTGCTGCCTCTTCTAATCTTTTTTTTTTTTTTTAATTAGCCTGATTTTAAGAGCTGCTGAACTAATTCCCTTCCTGTATAGCAGTGCATATTTAACCAAGCCTGAGTGTGTTCCTCCAACGTTAGGCCAAAGACATTAACTGCACAAACTGTGCCACACGGGTCCGACCAGATGATCACAGCAATTTGCAATTTCAATTGCTTCCACGCAAGCAAGAACAGAAAACCAGAAACAGTTTCCCCCTCCAAAGGAAACTGCTAACTCTTCAAAAGCAGCCTTAAAATTCTCTGCTGTGGGGAACAGCTAGCAGAGAGCCACCACCATACGCAACCTCATCCCTCAGCCATTAACATACAAATAATAAGGCCCGCATCCTTCAAGCGCAGACTTCAGCCTTCAAAAACATTTTCAGCACCTCAAATCTCCGTGCTGTGGAGACAACAAAAGGAGAATAACCTGCTAACAGAAAAGACCAAAGATAAACCCAGCAAAAGTTCACAACCTAGGTTCCACACCTCACACCAGAAGGGCTGGTAAGGAAAGATAACTGGCCCACATCTGACTGAGAGCAGGGAAAGCTGAGCTTAAGGGATTCTGGAAATCCGAAAGACTGTACTGTAGAAAACATAACACCCAAATGAGTCCTCCAAAAAAAAAAAAAAAACCCAAAAAACGACTGTGAGACATTTTAGATGGATTCTTCCCAAATCTATGGCAGGGCTCCTGTCTTGCCAGAGCTGGGTGGCTGTTAGCACTGATAAAGCAGCAGCTTTACCCCACACATCCTGTCTCAGCATCCAGGAGCTGTGTTCATTAAGGGAGCAATTAGCTTAACCCATGGCTCACTGAGCCACGAATGATCCCCGTTTTGGCCATCTAACCCATTTCACAGGAAACAATTACCTCAGCTTTCCTAAATTCTACAGTGCCCCTTTGCATGTACCCAAATGACAGTTACCTCTGCTTTTCCTTACTTGGCTTAAATAATTGCTGATCACTGTATTAATCCTGACTTGGGCTTTAACACTTTCCTTCTTCCAAAGAGAACAGAGTACTCTAAAGTTTGGGTCAGTCCAAATGAGTTCACTGTTACCTTTTTCACATTTCAGCTTGCTTTTTCACAAGTAAGCAAGCTCCAAAAATTCAATTTTGCTGACTGCTGTGCTTACACATGGGTGTGCATCTTTGTGTTTCCTTCTTCCCCCAGAAACAAGCATTTGATGACATCCTCACCAACAAAGCACCTGAGTTACTGAAAGATTTGGATACTTTCCTGGGGGATAAGAACTGGCTGGTAGGAAAGTCTGTAAGTTAAATTTTTGTTTCTCCCATTCCAACCGGGTTCCCAGTAAAATAAAATCATTAACTATTGTTGAATTTCTGGATTTTGTGTCAGCCCGTGAAACAACTCTCCCCACTCTTAATTCTTGGTTCTTACCAATTCACAGTGGGTTGCCCAATTGTAAAGTGAAAACCATTTTCCATACCATTAGAAAAGAGGCAAACCTGGACCAGGATCTGCATTTGCCAAACCAGTTTAGAAGTATGTTGACACAAAACATTATAAATGCCTTTGTATTAGTCAATAGAGATGGGAGTTGTTTAGAACTCGGCTTATAATCACCGCTCAGTTTATATGATAATATGAAAAAAGCCCTAAGAAAGCCCTTTTTTACCTAAACTGATTGGAAACTAATTAAAACACTTTCCTGCAGCCCAGTTTCAGAAGGAAAGATTAATATTATAATGTAAATAATATTGGTAGCAAGGGCTTTATTTAGCCAGTTTTTACTCAAGCCTTTCATTGCAATCTAATTACTACTTCTGTAATTATAGACTTAAAAAAAAATCCACACCAAACAACCCAACAAGAACGAGATCAATTCATGTTTCATTTCTGCAGTTTGCTGGGAATATCAGTAGTCTGAGATTCCGAGATTACCAAAGAAAATTAACTGCTTCTTCTCCCATTTCCACCAGGTTACCTGGGCCGATTTCTACTGGGATGTGTGCAGTACGACACTTCTGTCCTGTAAACCTGACCTGGCAGACAACTACCCCAGGCTTTTGGCTCTCAGGGACAGAGTGCAAGCACTGCCGGCCATTGCGGCCTGGATTCAGAAAAGACCAAAGACAATAATGTAGATCAGCTGCTCAGACTGGAAAAAACAAATGCATGTTTTAGTTTTCAACATGACAAGCATCCTAAGTTATTAATGTTAGAATCGTTTAAATTACTTTCGGATGGGTATGCTGCACCAAATCAAAATCTACCACTTCTACCCATTTCTAAGAAAGAATCGGAAAAGTTGATTTAGTAGAGTAGAGACTGAGGGAGAAGTGTTTCAACTACATTCCCCCCACTACTAATAAAGTGCTTAATCAACCCAATTAACCTTCTGTGGGCTTTCAAAGGGAGAAGATATGAATAAACCTTCCTGGAGAGATGCAATCTCAACAGTTTGTTTATTGTAGACTTTCAATCTAGAGGAAAGGCAGCTAATTAACAGAGAGCGTGAGTGTGTGGGAAGACTAAGGACACTACGCAAAAGAGACAAGAAAAAAAAGACCCATTTAGTCAACAGACTTCCAGCTCCTCAAGCACCTTCTTTAGCCTCTTGAAGTTCCTGCTGCACCATTGGAAAAAAAAAAGGAAAAAAAAAAAGGCAAGGAGGTAGCTGTCCAGCTGAGTCCACACCAGCACCAGATCCATAAGCACACCAATAAGTAGGAGACACAAACTGGGGGGGTGGTGGTGGCAAGGGTGGAAACCAGGTTTAGAACAAACTGACCAGTTTGTTCTTCTGAAACTATGGAAATCAGGTAGGTGGATATCCCAGCAACTTGGAGAGTTTTAGATGCAAGCAGTTTACACAAACTCAAGGGGAGACAAGTGCTTGCAAGAGGACTCCACTGCCTGGTGTAAGCAAATAAACCACAACAAACCTGGGTAATCCTCTGTGCTGAATATAGCCACTTTGGGGAAAGTATTTCCAACACTAACCAACCTCTAACAGTTCAGAGACAAAGCAGGTATTGGCAGAACTGAAAGCAAGGCCCAATCTTTTGCTTATTCCAATATGGTATCTCCACCTGCTTCGTAATTCCTTGCACGCTTTGTTCTAGCTCTACAGATTTTTTTCCTTCTTCAGCTTCCACTCTCCTCTCTTCTTCAGCAACAGACTTCAGATAGGGGTTTTTGTTTGTTTGTTTGTTTTCTCTGTACATCTTTCCCAACCAGAGACACAGAATCACAAAATAGTTGAGGTTCAAGGGACCTCTGAATGTCATCTGGTCCAAACCTGCTGGCTCAAGCAGTGCCACCTAAAGCCAGCTGCCCAGGACTGTGTCCAGATAACTTCTGAATATCTCCAAGGATGGTGACTCTACAATCTCTTAAGACTCCCAATTAAAGAGGATAGAAACAGTTAGAATAAACAAAAAAAACCAGAAACACATGAGCTTCATAGCGCTTAAAGACAGATACTGACCCCAAGGGTCGAGGGATGTGATTGTTTAAGGAGTAACCAACTGCTCAGCCAGACTACATTAACTGATTACATACACAGACCAAACCAAAACACCACACAAACCACCCTATAAGGCAGGCATTTTATTTCATTTCACATTTGAAGCAAACTGGCGAGAACATCCAAATACAATGGGATAAGAGTTTGGCTAGGACCACGCTCAGTTGAAACAGACTAATTAATTGCAGCATCTAAACATTTGTGGTTGTCCGTTAAATCCCACTATTTAGTCCAAGAAAGCAGCACAGCAGACAAACTGACTCTTATCCTTCTGCCTTACACCAGGGCAGCAGAGCTGACACTCCCAGATATTCACACTATTTCAGCTGCGCATTTTGGAACATAGAGCCACAGAAGATTTCTAGTAATAGCCAAGTGAAGTTTGGTTCTGTTATGGTTTGAGAAAACCCACAACAGTTTATTGCTGTTTAGACAATTACTCTATCACCCAATGATCCCTCCCCACCTGGGAAAGGGAATTGGGGAAAAAACCAGGAAACCTGGGGGTTGAAATATAAACAAATGTAATAGCAAAAGACTAGATAACTAACATTAATAGCACTAAAGAACCAATATTGATCCCTACACCAATATAAAATATACGAGGATTATACTCAGCCAATTCTACCAGTAGGAAGCTGTGCCCTCCCAGCAGTGGGCAGCAAATGTGGGACACTGTGAGTGCTACGGCATTGGGAGGAAGGGAAGGGCTCAGGGGTCCAGCACTGGGACAACAAGTTCTCAGGATTGCTACCATTAAGGGAGAGAGAGAGAGAGCACTTCTCAGCAAACTTTCTAATTTATAGTGAATGTGATGTTCATGGTATGAAACAACCCTCTTGGCCAGCTTGGGTCAAGTGCTCAGGTCTCACTCCTCCTCGTCCCTGCACCTGGCAAGCTCAGAAACACTGAGACCTTGAAACCCACCCACCATAGCTGGCTATCAAGTAAGTATTTTCACAAATTCAGACACTAGAGTTTTGTAAAAGTGCAGTTTTCTCAAGCATTAGAAATTAGTCCTGTGTCGCTCAAACCAAGACAAGTTCAAACTGTGAAAATATTTTTAAAAGCTTTCATTTTCCACACATTCTATACTTGCAGAATGCATGGGCAGTTGGAAAAATGCCCACAGCCATAACCAAACAAAAAAACCCAAAAACCCAGATGCCCGCCTCATAGATCACCTGACTGATCACTAGCAGTATCCAAAGACAGGCTGAAATACTGAGCAACCATGGAATCCAGCTCCTCTTCCCTACTCTTCATATAAAACTAAGTTCTTTCAAAAGATGCAAAACGCATCTTCTCACTGTTATAAGCACATACAGAAAAGCGGTAACTAACTAGCAACCCCATATTGCAAACCAGAGTGAATTCTAGAATGCAGACCTCAGAGATTCAGCGTGGTCCAGTTTTGTGGAGCTCTGCACAGAGCAACTGAAGCTTTAAGAGAGGGCAGGGGCAATAAGGACTTCCCTATACTTTGCCTTCCCCCAGCTTCTAAAAAAGCAGCTGTCTGAATTTTAACTCCTCTGAGTTCATAAGACCAAATTTCAGTCTTTTCCTCTGTCCAAGGAAATGGGCATCCTCCTCTCCTGCCTCCTCAAATCCCATCCTTGCCAGCAGATGACAAGCTTCAGGTGATAGCACACCTCATTGGTAGCACTGAAGCTCTTTGTTCCCCTGAGATGAATTCAAAATTCGCTGAGACTTCAAGAAGAGAGCAAGACATAAGCTGTGTGGTTAGGGCACTTAGAGCGCAGCTCTGGTATCTACACCAAGGATTGACAAAAAAAATTACAGCCTGGTAAAAAGTTTCATTTGGCAAGAATTCTGTTTTTATCATCAATATCATAATACAACCTTGATTAGAGTATAATGAAACATTAGTAACTAACTGCTGTTGGATAAAGTCAAGTCAATTCAAATGGAACATTTCATCTAGTTTGAAAGCCTCCTATCTGATTTATAACATGCAAGTTATCAGCACTCCCACCCACCCCCAAATAACCACAAAATGAAAACATTTTGTTAATCTATGGAATTTTATTGGAACAAGTTGATACAAAACCAGTACGGTACACCAAATGAACCAAAACAAGCAGAAACAGACTCGAGCATTGTCAAATAAGGCACATATAAAAAAATCTACACGCGTAATCCAGTGAAACAGACAGTTTATATATATATATTTGGAGGTAGAAATAATTACAAAAATACTGACAAATCTTAAGCAGTAGCAGATTTGTTAAAACAATTACTACTTAGGTCCCCCGTTTTGAAAAGTGATCTGTAAAATAAAATTTATTCATCAACTGATGTTGGCACATTTGGGCCACTTATGTTTTTAAGCATCAAAAGAATGCTATCGGTGTTAAAAATTTTCAATACCATGAGGAATACAATAAAAGAACTACAAAAAGTTATAAATGTTCATAAAACTCATGGTCAGCAGTAACGTAAAAGTCCTTGGGGTACAACATCACCTTTCCTTCTTGAATTCCACAACATATTTACATTTTAGAGACCTAACGAAGCTTTTAATAGTGTGGCTATATCTGCTGGAATGGTTCCTTCTTCTCCTGAGGAATAAAAACAAGCGTTAGTACAGCTCAAAATACTTCACATAAACAGATAAAAGTCTAGATCTCTGAAATTTTACAGAATCCTCTACTTGTAGGAGTCTGTCATTGATTCGTGGGTCAGACTCAGAGGGCACGTCCTGTCAAACCAAACAGTGATCAGCACAAACACATCTTTCTAGTTTATTTAACACAAAAAAAACCCCAAGGCTTGTCTGCATCAAGAACCTTGTTTTTCAGAATAATATATTGCGGCAACCTCAATTCTCTTAAGTGGACATCATTATGTGCGAGAGACTTACCTGAATCTGCCGCAGTCATATCTTGTTCTAACTTCAATTTCTGCTGGCTGATTTTGAGCATGGATTCTTCAATAGTCCCCTTACTGATTAGCTTTATGACTTTTACTTCTCTGAAAACCACAAAATAGGATAAATCCATTTTTAGAGTTTCTTTGGATGAGTGCAAAAGGGAAGGATGCTATGCCTTTGCTCAGCTGGAAGCCATTTAAAACAAGGAGGAAATGAACATAAGGGCAATACTAAGAGCTTCTAGTTTTTCCTGTCTGGATCAACTGTGCTCTGCACTGCCAGCCAACTTGCTTTCTCCTGCACTCCCAGCCACTTCAAAGTCGGGGCAGTCACAAAAACCTCCATTAATAGAATCAACTCAACTTCCCCCTCATCCCATACTACAGTTGAAATACCAGTTATTAAACATGTTCTTTCTCGCGTTAGCTTATTCTGAAAGAAGACTCTCAAACAGTCCATGGTTTCACTCTTTATTACAGGGGGGCAACTTCAGAGCTTAGAAATCTCCTTAAGAGGAGACAGCTTTGCCAAACAGTCCCAAAGACTTCAGATCTGCCTTGAAACAGTTCCTAATACTAGAAATTTGCAAATTACAGAGAATTTGAGAGTTATAGAGAACTGGAAAAAGGAGGAGAATGTAAATAAGGTTTGTTCTGGCTAAGACAATTTCAGTTACCTAGCTCCCACAGAACTGAGAACTGGTTTATGCACATTTCTGCTTAAAATGGGATTTTTAATCATAAAATATTGTCCTTCTCTTAGCTTCCTTTGAGAGCTTGCCTGCAAGAAAAATCACAGCATTGTAATTAAAAAGGACTTACCTTGTCTGACCTACTCTATGGCATCGGTCTTCTGCTTG